TGTTGTTACTTCTTGTTTCATACAACAATTGTAGCGACTTGATCACTGAGTTTTGCAGTTTTCTGCTGTAGGCGGACTGTTTGTCGTCGAGTGAATAATGTGCATGCGCAGTTTTTCTTGGGGAAACATTCTAACTACGCATGCTTATGCAGCAGGTTCTTGGTCAGAAAGCGTAACGGTCATACATACAAACAAGTAGAATAATAGTATAGATGTTTCTTAAGTCTGAAGGAATAAGTTGTTTTGAATCTTGCCTAAATATTCCATAAATATTAATGTCAAAGTTTAGAAGTTATTGCAAAGGAATTTTTATAGCCTTTAGCACCTGTCTAAGCTGAGAAACACCTCCAGCCGCCATGTCTGGTTTACAGGTCACTTCCACAGGTGCATACTCTCCCTGGTCATTCAATTCATGAATCTCCACCCATAATTCTATCTTCCTGGTCAGCTCTGCCCACCTAAGTGGCAGAATGTGAAAATATACGGAAAATTATCAATAGCTGGAAAACAAAGGTTAGGTATTTACATCATACACTGAATTGAAATAGCCATTTGATTTGCACAACTCATCATCTTTTTTGTACAGCTGATGATGTCAAGTTACTAATTACTAATATTTTCATTTTCATTGCATAACATCTAACATCAAACACAATATAAAAAATATTAACTACACTTAAAAAAAAATGAACAAAATTTATTGCAAAAGCCATTATAAAAGTGAACTTTTTTCTAAAAAGCTTAATTGAGTTCAAAAATATTAGTTAAAAAAGCATTCTCCCTTTTCAAGCAAACAGTCTGGAAAAAAAAAGAAGACAAAATACACAGATGCTCTGTGTTTGACTTACACACATGTATATCTCATTATTTACATTCAAATTTTCTAAGAAATAGAAATGCATTAATTATAATATAATTTAAAATCCTCATTGGGAACAACTACTGACCTGTCTGCTAGTGATCTTGACCACTGCAACTGTGCATCTATTTCCCATCCTGACCTGGCCGAGCTGAAGCCACCACTACGGTGACCCCAGACCTCTATGGACAAAGCTCCTTCGACACAGTGTTCAACAAACTCTTCTGTTATGTTGATTGTGAACTCCTGTCGTGATAACATTACTAACCGATGTTAATAAAATACAAACAAAATTGCATGAATAAGGCTTTAATAAAAAATGTCTCTCAGGGAGTAAAATTTGAAAAATCCCTAAATGACTATTTTTTTCAGTTTAATAGACTACTAATTATTAAAGTCATCAAAAGATTACTCATGGGTAAATTCATGGAGGTTAAACACATAACTCTTAGTCAAAAATTAACTGGTATTATTCTTATTCTAAGCAATATTCTTTCTGTTAATTGAAAATGTAAAAAAAATTCAAACCATAGCTTAGAAGAATACTGAATACTTTAAGAATACTAAATAATCTGAATACTTTAAATGGTCTACCATTTAACCAAAGTTATCAAAAATGTCCATTACTTAACCGTTAACTTTCTTACAACAAAATCACAAAATGTAAAGCAACAGAAGATTTTATTATTACCTTTTCATGATCAAATAAGAACATCATTTTGTCCCTGCTTTTACGGGTAATGGGTTTATCAGGGTTTACTACAGGAGGAACAACAACAGAGTCATGATGACCCCAGAAAGTATACTGACAAAAGACAAAGTTGGACAGGGATGGTGGAAGTCCAGATGCTGATTTGATGGCTACCTAAATAGTTATAGATAGAAGAAAGTTAAAAATATTATACAAAGTTTTCTCACATTAAACTGAATTGATAGTTCTGTATGATAAATTTGTTAAAATTCACCTGGTTTACTTAAAAAGGAAAAATTTATATCTCAATAATACTGTTAATGTTTTTTACAAATATTTCTTTATTGGTTATATATTATGTATTTCCAAAGAGAAAGTGCAAAACAGCATCTTGATTGCATCCTAAGTCAAAATTCCAGTTATGCAAGTCGTTTACAATATATCAATTATCATGATGTACAATACCTTTTATTGGTGAAGCATGACATTACAATAAAATTGTTAATAACGTGTTAAAGATCCATCTATACTGGTCCTATACCATGGATTTCCAGTAAGAAAAAGTATAATAACATCTTGACTACACACCAAGAGCCTTGTTTGAAATGCTATTTTTATCAGTTATTCAGAATACGGTATATGACGTCCTATGTTAGTGAAGTAGTTTGGAGCACGGTAATAAATAAAAGAACCAAATATTAAGTTCAAAAAAGTTATGAAATGTGGAGCAAAATAGCTAAAGATTATACAAAATTAACACCTTATTAGGCTTATAAATGTATTTAAAAGCATTCAAGCTTTCTGAAAACAAGGAGAATAGAAAGTTAAATAAAAATATTTGTATCTTTCCATACAATAAAAATTGACAGTGATAAAAATTGCACACTCACTCTGACAACAATCTGTCTTTTTGCTGAGAAGTCCTCCCCATCTTCACTGATCGTGCTTACATCCAACAAGGACCCTCTAACACTGTCTCTGTCTGACCATCCAGCATCTCCTATCCTTTCTGGTATAGATCCTGCTACCCTACCAATCTGAACGTGAAGTCGTCCAGCAACCTAAGACAAGACATGAAATTTCGTCATTTTCCATGTCATCGCTAAGTCAACATCAGAACACAAATTGAAGAAAACAGTATAAATCTACTTAACTTCTGCATACTTGTGTATAAAAGACATTATAATACTAGTCAACCTTATAACAAACTCAAGACTGAAGACACTATTTTATTTGTAAATATTAAACAAAATCCACATAGATTTAGATGAAAAAACTTTGATCCAAAAATTAAATACAACTGTGTAGTTTAAAATAAAAATACTTAAATTTTCAATTTAATATTCAGTCATTAAGTTTCATAACATAACATTTTTTTTTGTTTTTGTTTGATTTGAAAAACCAAACATTGTTATAAAACATTTTTTAAGTTACCTCCCCCTGTTGGCTGATGATTGGAACATGATAGTTCAACAACACATCGTGGAACAGGACTTCTAAAAATACGTTCCCCACACCAATGAGATTGTGGTTTTCCTGAGTTTCGTAGAATGGGTCTATTCTTTTAGGAAGGACTGCATCCTACAGATATTGTAAAGAAATGTGGTTTGAAACAAAAACTGAACAACACTAGCTAGTAATTACATAAATTTGAAAAAATAACTTAGTTTTAAGTAAAATATCAAGTGACTATAATGGGAAAGAACAAACTTTGTTCAGTAGTTTAAATTTTTACAGATAATATATTAATCAGTATGATACACTTTCACTCATCAATATTATATCATTTTGTTTTGATTCTCTACAATAAAATAAAATATGCTATGTATCCGTTTGAAATATTTAAGCCATTCTAATCTCAATTTTCCACATACTTTTTTTAAAATCTATTAAATGTACTTCCTTTTTTCTATTACTTAAAGTCAAAACAGATTAAAAATTGTCTCAACTATGTTTCGTTTCAAAGTTTTGCTGATTCAAGCCCACTTTGTAGTTAATAGTTTTAAGACAAAAAGTTTGGAATGCACAAAATCAAGATATTTTCTCGCATAACTTGTAAGCCAAGGATAACTATGGAGAGGAGATGGCTGGTGAGAAAAGAACATTATAATTTTTATGGTAAAGAAGCATTAGAAAGTTACAAATAAAATATTGTCTTGTTTGAAAGTTTAGGGTGTGAGGCTCCGACTATGATACATATAGTACAGCATCAAAAACACAAGTAAGGACTCTCGGCAAAACTATTTTCATATAAAATGAACATTAATGATCCAAGATTTTTGTTTTCCTACCTTTAAGGGTTTATCTTTTTCTTTGCTTTCTTCGTACATGTCTCTCATGTCTATTAACTTGTTTTCAAGCTTTTCCATTGACCAGATCTGATTCCATTTATTGATTCTTTTCACCAGAATAGCTGGTTCACTCACAAAAGCTCCCCGCTAAATAAAGTATCACACTATTCACTGACAACAGTTCTAATAAAATATTGATTGATTGAATCATTAAGAAACAAATGCATTCAGCTTAGATATTTTCTGAAGCTTAAACATCCACTTGAAGTAAATCTCAATTAATAATAGTTTGTTTGTTTGTTTTTGAAAGCTACACGAAGGCTATCTGCGCTAGCCGTCCCTAATTTAGCAGTGTAAGACTAGAGGGAAGGCAGCTAGTCATCACCACCCACCGCCAAATCTTGGGCTAATCTTTTACCAAGAATAGTGGGATTGACCATCACATTATAATGCCCCCACGGCTGAAAGGGCGAGTATGTTTGGTGTGAGACGGGGACTCGAACCCACGACCCGCAGATTGCGAGTCGAGTGCCTTAACCACCTGGTCATGCAGAGCCAATTAATAATAAAGAACATAGCGATACCCAGCAACATGTAAAGCTTACATACTAAAATTGAAAAAAAAGTACTTAAATTCAGCATTTATACTTGTGCAAAAAAAAAGTATAAAATAAGTAGCTCTTATTAAAGTTATCTCAAGTTTCTTGTATTGACTTGTTCTGGCACAACGTCTGCAAGAAAAGTTTATCTTTCATTAAATAAGAACAAAAATATTCTGTCACTCTCAACTGGTCCAACCACTTCAATACACTTTGTCTCATCAGTCTAGTAGGCCATCACTAGAGCCAATGCTGTCCAGAATACTAAATAAACACTTCAAACGAGGCTTAGTAAAACAATCTCTAAGATTTTAGATTTAGAATTGAATCATTCACCAAATTTAACTAAAAACAATTTAAAGATGTAAAAGAAACATTCTTACCTTACGATTAGGACTGAGATTTGCAGCCGGGATCTGAAGGGTTACTTTGATTTTAGATTTAGAATTGAATCATTCACCAAATTTAACTAAAAACAATTTAAAGATGTAAAAGAAACATTCTTACCTTACGATTAGGACTGAGATTTGCAGCCGGGATCTGAAGGGTTACTTTGAACTCAGTCTTTTTTTCCATTTCCAGAGCCAAAAAATTAGCTTCTCTAACCAAAGCATTGGCCTTAACAATGTCTTCTCTGAGCTTGGCCAAACTTAATTTGAAAACTTCATCCCTAAATATAAAGCAAAATATATTCATTGCTAATTTCTTAAAAAACAAAAACATAATTAAACCTATTTTGATATTACTGTAATATGAATAAGCTAACATAAACTTATATCTAAAAAAAAACATCTTTAACACTATTCCATTCTAAGATAAACTTTACAGAAATGTCTTGTTTTTATGACTGTTCAGTCACAGTCTTTTTAACATTCTAACACTAGCCAAGTATGTTCAGTTTTTGATCAAGTATTATGGTAAAGTTCAGTTTTATGACAACTAAGGTTTATGGTAAAATTAAAATTTCTGACAAATTAACGTATTACGGTTAAGTTTAGTTTCACAAAAACAGAAGTTCCGTTTTTAAATAATGAGAGTTCAGTGTTTGCTGAATTCTAACACGTTAATAATAATAAGAGATTGGAGTTAGAAAAAAAAGTATTTATTTCCTTTTTAGACTAAAAACACAACAACGTTTATGAAAAACGTTTTTTTTTATCGGGAATGAGAAAAAAACTTTCCTTAAAAAAATTGCCAAAAATCAATATACCGAATATACATACATAATTTATTCAAAACTTGAGATATTTTGCTGAAGAATAATAAGAATTATTTTGAATATGAGAGAGACTGCTATGGTATATAAAATCAAAGTTTCATGAATAATACTCTTTTTCCATTTTTTAAAACTAGAATTAATTAAATAATAGTACATTTTTATTTGCCTTCCCTTTGCCCTCGTATCAGTTATTGAAAGACGTGAAATATCATTAAAAAATAACTAATAAAATAATTTTTACCTTTCTTTTGCCCATCTTTCCATTCTAGACTGAACAATGGAGCTGGAGCCAGTAGGAGTAATCTTACCTAATCCTAATGGATCAAACGGTGAATAAGGAGAATATGGTGTAGTGGGCGACATCTGGTTTCGTAGCATCTGCAGTTGTTTCTCATACATTTGTCGCTGCTTTTGAAGAGCATCTATGTGTAAGACACGATCATCTCTTAGAAATGGAAGTTCATGTAACAAAAATGTATTATAGTCTGGAATTACAGGACTTACAATAATGTGTTCATAAAAAATTTGAAATGATGAAAAACCAGTTGTTTCTCATACATTTGTCCTTGCTTTTGAAGAGCACCTATGTGTAAGACAACAGGAAACTTAAGCAAAAAATTAATATTCTTGTCTGAAGTTGGTTTTCCACAAAATAAATTTGTGGAATTTGTTAAGAAGAAGAAAAATTTACTCTTGGCCAGGGCATCATTTTTTTCTTGTTTGTTATAACAGTTTTGAATAATTTAATCGTGTCTTACACATAGGTGCTCTTCAAAAGCAAGGACAAATGTATGAGAAACAACTGGTTTTTTATCATTTCAAATTTTTTATGAACACATTATTGTAAGTCCTGTAATTCCAGACTATAATACATTTTTTTTACATGAACTTCCATTTCTAAGAGATGATCGTCTCTTACACATAGGTGCTTTTCAAAAGCAGCGACAAATGTATGAGAAACAACTGGTTTTTCATCATTTCAAATTTTTTATGAACACATTATTGTAAGTCCTGTAATTCCAGACTATAATACATTTTTGTTACATGAACTTCCATTTCTAAGAGATGATCGTGACACATGAAATGGCAGGAATCCTTGAAGTATGTGATTTGAATAGTTCACAACTTTTTAATTATAGATTATAAATTCTGTTTTGAACTGTCTTCAGATAAAAAGTTCACTTAAATTTCTTTCATTTTTTTATGTCAGAAGTAAACGTTTATTAGAGTTTCTTCTCAAAGAAACATTTTGATTCATTCCATTAAATGAAATAAAATATATAAAACATTATACTGTAAATAATGATTTATAAACGTATTGTGAACACTGTGACATTAATCATCTGTAGCCTAGTGGGTAGTGTCTTCTGTTTATTGGTGTAGCTACCCTCTTGACTTAAAAATCAAACTTGAATTCCAATGTTGTTGTTTTTTGTATTTATATATAAATTTCATTACCAATCTCTGAAGAGTCTACTCTAAGACTCACTTTTTGTATTCTATACTTGCACATAGCTCACATGCTTCCTCATCATGCACTGCCACTAAATATAATTTTATAGTTTTTTGAATAAGTATTGACAATTGTGAAAACAAACAAGAACAAAAATTATGAAGAAACTGATTTGGAAGGTTATTAAAAAACTTGAGTGCTAGCAACAAAGCACAAAGTATCTAGTATAACATGTTAACAAACAAGAATAAAGTATCCAGTATAGCATGCTAACAAACAAGAACAAAGTATCTAGTATAGCATGCTAACAAACAAGAATCAAGTATCCAGTATAGCATGCTAACAAACACGAACAAAATATCTAGTATAGCATGCTAACAAACAAGAACAAGTATCTAGTATAGTACGCTAACATGCTAACAAACAAGAACAAAGTATCTAGTATAGCATACTAACAAACAAGAATCAAGTATCTAGTATAGCATGCTAACAAACAATAATCAAGTATCTAGTATAGTATGCTAACAAACAAGAACAAAGTATCTAGTATAGCATGCTAACAAACAAGAATCAAGTATCCAGTATAGCATGCTAACAAATAAGAACAAAGTATCTAGTATAGCATGCTAACAAACAAGAATCAAATATCTAGTATAGCATGCTAACAAACAAGAATCAAGTATCTAGTATAGCATGCTAACAAATAAGAATCAAGTATCTAGTATAGCATGCTAACAAACAAGAACAAAGTATCTAGTATAGCATGCTAACAAACAAGAATCAAGTATTTTTACATATATATATGTATGAATTCACAGCTTTGAAAAGTCAGAAAGATTTAATTCATTGTGACATGTTTTTTTAGAGTAAATTAAAACATTTACCTTTGTTGTAAGTTTCAATTATTGCTTTTAATGTCGTTCTACATTTTATTTTCCAAAATTTTCCAATAATGTTTTTATTCATTAAAAATCTAAATTTTATCTTTGTTATAATTCACAAAACAGCACACACAGTACCACTGTTTTTATGATCACCAGAGTACAATAAAAATAACTTTTTAATGTATCAAAATTATAGACAAGCCAACTTTTTTAAACTGTTAATCAGAAGGTTTAATATATGTAAAAGTTTTAAACCCAGTTTATACTCATTTAGACATACTTTGTTCTCATTTCTTTTGCCCATTCAAGCAGATACTCAATCAATAAAACCTTATGTAAAAATGAACTAATAAACAGTGGCATTGTATGCAAAAAATAACTTTACACAATTGAGTGCAAAATGATCTAACTAAGCCTAACTCATCTTATTAAATTAAAATACTTTTTCTCTTCATAGTACACTGTAACGTCATAATTAAAATGAAGTATAAGTTATGAAAAAATATTTAAAAGAAGAAAGAGGGCTTAACCATCGTGAAAGTTGTTCACAAACTTATTTTCTCCTAGCAACAAATCACCAAGTTAAGCTTTTATAACTTTGTTCCCATCTATGTGAGCCACTACTGAACTGGAAGCCAAATCACCTTGCATAGTTGAAAACAACAACAAAAAAGAGCTTTCATATAATATTTAGATCACTGGTACATGATTTTTCAAAGCTAAGATATAGGCAATTACATCATACCATGAGAACCAAAGTTAAGAACCAGTTATTGGTTAAAACTACATTTGTACTGAAGTTACAAGGTTCAAATTAGTGATATTTGTTACCTGTTTCTGCTTTCTTCCTAGATGGCTATGAGTTACATATTATGCTCAGACAAAAAGTCAGGAAATTCACTAACTCCAATGTTTTCCTTTGGAGGTCAACGAAATTAACCCAAAATCAAAATTTGTTTTTGTTGTTATTTATAAAATTAAATAAATAAAACAATTTATTAAATAAATTTAAACTCTGAAGTTTTTTCTATTTGTAGAAGAATGACCACAAATATATTTTTTATAACTTTTGTAACTTAGTGGTCCATTTTTGCATGCTCTAAGTGTAGGGTAGACCCAGCCATATGTCAAAGGGCTAAGCAACTCCAAAGTGTGTTGTTTTAAACCTCATCTGCACCAGGTTATCCAAGGTAGATATTACTTGTAACTATATTTCGGAAGTAGTACAAAACAAAACTAGAAAAAAAGTCCAGAAAAATACTTAAAAACGTTAACAAATGTTTCCTGAGAAAACAAAACTGAAACCCATGTCATCAAATACACGACTGATTTTGCTGTATACACATAGCAAGTTGATCATGTGAGAACTGATTGCTAACTTTAGAAATGAGGAATAATATAATAATTTACAACTTAAATGCATACCATGAAAGTGTTAACAAATATTAAGCTTTAATAACATCTGGGAATAAACATTACTACATTGATTTATTATAAAATTTAAGAGATGCATACTCATATTTCTCTACACTAAACCAGTACTTCCCAAACTGTTAACAAATATTAAGCTTTAATAACATCTGGGAATAAACATTACTACATTGATTTATTATAAAATTTAAGAGATGCATACTCATACTTCTCTACACTAAACCAGTACTTCACAAACTGTGTGCCGCAGAATTTTTATTTAGTATTGTAGACTTATTATCAATTTAATACATTTTTAAAATTTAAAATTTGATTTTCTCCTTGATACAAAGTATAACAGTAATTTCTGCCTGTCTTAGTCGGGGAGTGCCACTTTAAACTCTAGTCAAGCTATGTTTTACATGGGAAGCACTGCACCATACACCTGCTAAGACAAGCCTGAAGTTATTTAAACTGTACTCAAGCTATGTTTTACATGGGAAGAAGGCACTAAACATCTGCTAAGACTGAAGTTATTTAAACTGTACTCAAGCTATGTTTTACATGGGAAGCACTGCACCAAACACCTGCTAAGACTTAAGTTATATAAACTGTACTCAAACTATGTTTTACATGGGAAGCACTGCAAAACACCTGCTAAGACAGGCCTGAAGTTATTTAAACTGTACTCAAGCTATGGTTTACATGGGAAGCACTGCACTAAACACCTGCTAAGACAGGCCTGAAGTTATTTAAACTGCTGTACTCAAGCTATGTTTTAAATGCTACTTATATTATGCAACATATTTTTTGTGGCTTCATAAACTTACTGTGCTTATCTTCTTCATGCTGTCTTTCTAATGCTTCCATAGCTGTCTGTATTGGGTCATTACTGAGCTCTTTCATCATAAGTTCCTCTCGGGCAAAATCATAGTCAATAGGTCTCTCTGGTTCATCAGGACTAGTAAGTGCTTTATATTCAAAAGAATTGTCTTCATTAACTTAAAAAAAAACACATTCATTTGAAGAAATACACACCTCACAGAGTATTTCACTTTCAAATGAAGGATAAAATAACTTCACTTTAAGAAACAAATTGATTTACAGCATTTCAGCAAAAATTACCCTAATACTTTTTTTTCTAGTGTTGTTTGTATTAAGTGCATTTTTCCAGTGAAATTTTTAAAAAGTGCTGAAAATAAATGCAAGTTTGAAGTCTAATTGACACTGATCTTTCCAGATGACAAAATGGAAAAGTAACAGGGCGACAATAAAACCTACAAACACCTTTCACTGTCAACAGAAAAGAAGTGCACATGGAAATGGCGAGGTTTGTTTGAAATGGTGTGGTTTGTTTAGAAGCGATAGACTTGAGAGAAAGTAGCTAGTCAATAACACACTCCTACTGCCAACTCTTGGGATACTTTTTACCAATGAATAGTGGGATTGACTGTCATTTTATAACATCCCCATTGCTGAAAGGACAAGTATGTTCAATGACGAGATTCAATTCCCACTGTCAACTCTTGGGCTACTCTTTTACCAATGACTGTCACATTATAATACCTCTTAGCTGAAAAGGGAAACAGGTTCAGTAATGGGGATTCAAACCCATGACCAGCAGATTGCGAGTCGAGCACCCTAAGCACCAGGCCTCACATGGAAGTACGTACCCACTAGATACTACATTGTACAACTATTTTACAATAGCATTGTTAACTTTAATGGTAAGACTATTAATTTTCATGTAACATTTTCAATAGTACACATGTGCACCAAAATTCTTGTTGAAGTAACTTTAGTAAAGAAACTGAGAATAAAAGGATAAAGTAATTTAAAAAAAGAAGCTATGTTTAAAATACCTTAAAGAACATTTGAGTAACAGTGAAAAAATCAGACAGAAGACATTGACTGTTTTTGTATTAAAGCTGATGTACAAGATGAATAAAAACAGATTGAATGTTATAAACAAATCTGATTGGTTAACAATCAGAACCTAATGATTGTTTGTTACAAAATAAACTTGCTATTTTGTGATTACTAGCTGCAAAAGGTCAGTTTGAAACACTCACCTGTTGATCAAATTTTTTCCATTTAACTGGTAAACATTTAGTCTTAACAAACACATTTGAACAGTTCATTTTATCCCATTAAAACTATCATTTTATTAAAATTATCATCAACAACCCTTGAAAATAAAACAATATGATAGGAGACATTGTTTAATCAAACAGAAAACTCTGGATTACGTATATATCTTTAAATTTGTAGAAAGGAAACCAAAAATTAATGGATTTCAAAATCTTAGAGATAAAAAGGGTTGTTAATAAATATTAAATAAAATTTCTGATCAAAAGCAAGTACACTAAATAGATTAGAATCAAAATTCAAATTAGATATTAATGAAGCTAATTCTATATAATAAACCAACTAAAAGTATTAATCAGAAAACTAAAGATTACAGATTACAATGCACTGAAACGTCATTTGATTATCCTCACTGTTAATAACATATCTGGTTATCCTCACTGTTAACAATATATTTGGTTATCCTCACTGTTAACAATATATCTGGTTATCCTCATTGTTAACAATATATTTGGTTATCCTCACTGTTAACAATATATTTGGTTATCCTCATTGTTAACAACATATTTGGTTATCCTCACTGTTAACAATATATTTGGTTATCCTCACTGTTAACAATATATTTGGTTATCCTCATTGTTCAGAACATATTTGGTTATCCTCACTGTTAACAATATATTTGGTTATCCTCACTGTTAACAATATATCTGGTTATCCTCACTGTTAACGATATACCTGGTTATCCTCACTGTTAACGATATATCTGGTTATCCTCACTGTTAACGATATATCTGGTTATCCTCACTGTTAACAATATATCTGGTTATTCTCACTGTTAACGATATATCTGGTTATCCTCACTGTTAACAATATATTTGGCCATAATTAACATGTGCATGAAAAATAAGGCTTACTTGCAGATTTAGGGCAATTGACTCTAAAGAAATGGTTATTTCCCCACAAAACTCTGTCTCCATGCCTCAACTGCGTTTTGGTTGTTATCACAGACCCATTCACACAGGTTCTGCAAAAAGAAAAAAAAAGCTTTGACCTACATCTTTATTTACAATCAATGAAGGTTTTTAGAAATACTGTTTTATAAGTTTAACTTTTTTTAAATTATAGGAAATGGAATGAGAAGAAATCAAAGATTTTACTTTAACAACGAAATTAACAGGCTATACTCCTTTTAACATATGTTAATAAATAATGAAAAACGTGTGTGTGTTGTATTGAGTGGCAACAAATGGCTGTACACTTTTTAAAGTATTATAATTTTTACCTCTTCCACACAGCCACTTTCAAGTTCAGTGCCAATCTGTACATATATTTGTAATTTATCAAACATGCTATATTGCTTCCCTTGGGCAATCTTCAGATCAGCATATTTTGCTGGAAAGAACAGATGCCAACTACACAATCAGTTAAACATAAGAAATTTTCCAGCATGTCCAGAAATGTAAGTCTAGTGGCTCAGCTACTAAAGTGACAGCAGCTTTGCTTTTAACAGGACATCAGATGCTCCTGTGCCCTTGGATCACATATGGCATTGCTTAATAGCATTGTCGATGGTGCACGTATAATGTATACTTATTGAAATTAGTTTTGCCTATAAACAAGAGGCTTGAATTCAATGTACCATGTAAGGGTTTATGGACACAATTTTGACATTATCTGTTGATAAAACCTTGGTTTAGGGCAAAACTGGTAATATGGAACAAGCATAGGGTTTTTATACCAATATATATGTAACTTGATGACTTTTTCTGTTCTTACATTATAAATTGTTTACAACCATTTGTTGACACATTACACTATATTAATATTACACCTGGTAATAATCTTATTATAATGGAGTAATATTTTTATAACTAAACAGTATTTTTATAGCTTAGCAGATGACTTTTTCTGTTCTTACATTATAAAATGTTTACAACCATTTGTTGACACATTACACTATATTAATATTACACCTGGTAATAATCTTATTATAATGGAGTAATATTTTTATAACTAAGCAGTATTTTTATAGCTTAGCAATAAATAAAACAATTTAAATTTCCACAAAAATTATATGATTCAGATTTAACCCATAAAAATTACAAACAAAAAGGAGTAAGTTTCAAATATAAAAAATATTTGTTTTTCTTTAGCGAAAATCGTACGAGTGGTGCAACAGAAAAGCAGGGCTGGGCAGTTTCATTGATAACTGTATAACTGTGTCTAAAAACAAATACTTCAATAAAATCTACTCTGTGATGTACTACTGTGATGATAGCTCATTTATAAACTAAAATTTAAATAAAATTCTTTTTCTCATGGATAGTGAACATTACTGAATGTAAAGTATGATTAAATTGTTGTAGAACTGTCAGAGAATTCCAGAAAAGGCTGCAGGCACAATAGCCTTCCACAGGAACTAGCAGTTATACCTGCCCAGAGGGCAGGTATTTCTGTTAGTATTATGAACTGAGGGCGAAGAATATTTTTTGGCAAAAATAAAAAATGTTTATATGTTCTAAAATGGTAAAGGACTTATAATATATGTTGTATGTTTTTAATTACAAAATAATTGCTAGAATAATTTTAACTGACAAACCTTGCTCCCTCCATTGGGCTGAGGAATACCTCCTGATTCTCCTCTATTGTTATGACACAATGCTCTGGCATAATACCTAACCCTGACAGCTGGATGTCTTGCTCAACAGGAGCATCAGGTTGTCCTACAAGTGTTTTCTCCTGTAGGAGTAATCAAATCCCCAAGATAAAACTTCAGAAAAAATATGTTATTAGATGCCTAAAATATATTTCAAATGGTAAGATAAACCTAAACATTTCTATTGATATCAAATAATGTTTAAGTTAAATAAACTTAGTCTATAATGTTATGATTGGAGTTTCAGTAATCATTAACACTTACCACACCAGCTACAAGAACATCAGTAGCAACGAAAATCAAACAAACATGCATTAATCTCTTTCTTTAAGGTGCTTGTTGCCCATTGATGTTTGCATTACTGGTTTTGGACTCTAGAACAAACTAAGGACCTCAAACTTTGATGAAATTATTGAAAGTAACATAAAACAATTCACTTCCAATTAATTATGCAAATTATTTCATTAGTATGCAGCTCAGATTTAGATTATCTAAAAACACAATATCTTGAAAACTAATAACACTACCCAACTAAATTATACATCAATTTAAAGTTTAAGAAAAGTATAAACCTAACACCACAAATGTCAAAGTATCAGAGAAGAAAAGAAAAACAAAAAATTTATTTATTTTCAACACTACAAATGAACTCTCCAATTACAGACCTCTTTTAGTTAGGGTGTAACTTTTTACAACCAATGTTTTGGTTCATTCCTTGCAGTATTTTCCACTTTATTATGGAATGAGTTTGTGACAAAACAATTGATGAAATTTTACCACCAAATAGACTGCGAATTGCCATGAATACTGTTGCTAGAGTGGTTGTTATGTGTAAATTTTAATTTTCAGTTCAGGATTATGATTGTCAACACCATTTTTGAGGGATATGTAGAAGTATTTTGACAAAATGTGTTGAAGAAACTGAAAGTAGACATTTTAAAGTAGAAAATCTTTAATTTTGAAAAAAAGGGTAAAAAAATGGCCTAGAAATACCTCAAATAGTTTTTTTCTTGAACTGGTGTAAATGTTAGAATGCTAAGATCTATTTTTTGTACACTAATCAAAATACAATATTGACACCAAATACTTAGTATAGAGAGATATGCAATATTAATAGAAAAAAACAACAACTTTAAATTAGTTACTTTTGGAGAAACAAAAATCAGTTTACCTTCAAATAGTACACCAGAAGTTCATTAAGTGAAGGGTCAGCATTCAGGTTCACCAAGTAGTACTTATCTTTTTCAACCTTGATACCCGAGGCTTGAACAGAGATTCCCATTTTCTCTAACGCATGTTGTCTTTCCTAGCACGGCCGAAGAAAAGGAACATTGATTTTGTTTTGTTTCTTTTATAAAAAATTTGCTTTTGATTAAAATATTATAACAAATAGTTTCAATGCAGACCAGTCAGCTGAAATAAATTATAAGTTTGGATAATAAAGAAAACAAGCTTCAATTTTAAGCATTTTCTCACTAAACAATCTAAAAGCATTAGAGAATAAATCTGGGAAAACATGATTTTTCTCATCTAATGATACTTTAATGCAAATTTTCATCTTTCTATTTCTAATTGCTATTAAAAAAAAAAATCCTTGAGATCTTATGTTTGTTTGTTGAATTTTGTGCAAAGCTACTCTAGGACTGTCTGTACTAAACATTCCTAATTTTAAACTGACAGACTAGAGGAAAAGCAACCAGTCAACATTAACCAATGCTGACTCATGAGGTTCTTATAATGTGCCATGGATCCACAGTCCAGCACACTAATAATTGGGCCTTACTTAGCCCTTTACTGAGGCCTAGGGATATTACTCATACAACTTTAAGTGCATTGATACATTTTCATGATTCGATTCTTCACAGGCAGTGTCAAGAAGAAGAATGTTGAATTCCAAGTTCTCATGACTAGAGTTGAGGAATAATACAACTACAAAATATGTATTTTTTTTTCTTTTATACATCCAGATTTTGTATTAACAATTGTTTCCAGACAAGGTTTCAACTTTCTGCTTTTCTAAGGAAATTTTTAAAACTGAATTTAGTTTTCTTTCTTATTGTTCATTACTGTTGGCTATCAAGTACAACTCAGTGATTTGTCTTCATTCTTAATTTTGATAATTTCAAACTTTTCAACACTAATGTTCTTATTGTTCATTACTGTTGGCTATCAAGTACAACTCAGTGATTTGTCTTCATTCTTAATTTTGATAATTTCAAACTTTTCAACACTAATGATCTTATTGTTCATTACTGTTGGCTATCAAGTACAGCTCAGTGATTTGTCTTCATTCTTAATTTTGATAATTTCAAATTTCTCAACATTAATGATGACTTTTTCTCATTCACTGTACACAACCTCAAGATGATCAACCAACAAGTGAAACTAGTAAAACAATACATAGACTGACATGAGACAGTGGCACCACCTACAAAATATGAAGTTCAGTTCCAAGAATTTCTATTACAAATTTACATAAAATATTCACCTTTTCCACTGGTTTATTCTCTGTTGTCAACACCTTACATTTATTTTACTACAATGACCAGCTTATCTCAATAATGTCCAAATGCATGGTAGATCAGTAATGGGTTAGGCTAACTCGTTTTTAAAACATGGAATTCACTTACACTCAAGGGTCTCTAAACACACATACCCACAATTCTGTTTCAGTCTTAAAACAATGCCGACTAAACATGTTAAATTAACACCAACAAAATACAACATTCTTTTCTTTCTGTAGTGGATATTCTTTTTGTCAATGGTTTAAAGTTGGAAAAACATTTATTGAAAAAAAGATATTATTACACATATTTATTGTCACTAGATGTCAGTTTTGTGCTTTATAAAATAAAATGTAGCAAAAATAGAATAATTTGAAGAATACCATGTTTTAACCCTTTCCAGACGGGTCATGAGCCAAAGGCCATGTTGTCATGTTTGTTGACTCCACATTCAAAATTTTATTGAACTACTATTTCATGAACTTATGTCAGTAAGTTTGGTATCAAACTGTAGATTATAATTCAAATTTTAGTTTTATACATTATTTAATTTCTTAATTTAAAAGTAAATAGAAAAAAAATACTTAAACATTGATTTTTGTGTGTGTCAAGTGGTATGTTGAATGCAGCACTGGTTCAAATTAGATGTTTGTGATGTCAAAATACTAAGTCTATAGTTTCGCATACGAATTAGGAACTCAAACTACAGATATTGACAAGCTAGAATACAAAATATGAACCTCTTTTCTTTTCTATTTGCTAAGATATTGCTCATGTAATAAATCAAACACAGTGGCACCCCACTCACCTCTTTCTATTTTTGGAAACGCTGCTTTATATACACTTACTTCTATATATAACACCTGAATAATCAATTGAAAGCTCAGAATGTCCCCCTAGTGGCTTTCTTAGCCATTTTCAAGTGTTGTGATACTATCCTATTCTTTCAAAACAAGATTTCAATTAGGTAGGTTGTGTCTTTAGTCTGTTCAAAATTTAATATTTTTTTAGACTGAAATACAGCTTAGTTACTAAGCTTGATAAATTATAGTGGAATTCTATGATATCGATATAGTAATTTATGATATTTTAG